ATTTACTTGTATTCTTACTTTTATCTAATCTTATGCTTTCATTTTAACTTGTTTTTGCTTTTGTTTTCAGCTGGAATTAATGTGTGTTATCCTTTTCTACTGTTGTAAGCAGGGGTGCGGAGCCGGAGCCGGAGCTGGAGCCGGAGCCGGAGGCGTCAAAAAAGGGGGCGACTTCGGTTCTTTTTCTTTTTTGACGAGGAAAAGTTCGGTTTGACAGTACAAGGCTCTCTACTCTACAAACATGTGGTACTCGAAATGGCTTTGTTACAGAAGCAGCGTGCACCGATCCAATCGTCATTTTTCTTCCACCCGTATTTAACCCGCGCCCCACTGGGGGGGGGGGGGGCTATTCAAAGCTCCCTCCCGTTTTTCTGCAATAACTTCCAAACCGCTAGACGTATCGACGCCAAACTTTCAGTACCTTCGGCTGCATCAATTTGACACCCTGTGTCAAAACATGAACTTCGTAGCTACCATAGGTCGGCCGGAAATGACGTCAAAGTGACGTCATGTTCGGCCGATTTCGTCGCAAAACATTGAACCACGGCAATCACTCCCAAGAGCTCAGTTTTTAAGCTAGATCCAATTTCTTTGCATGAAAGGACTCAGAATAGACTGCGCAATCAAACTGCTGTCTCGGATTTTCAAAATTCCAAAAAAACTCAAAAAAAATATATAGGTAATAAAACTCAAAATTTATATTTTCATATTTTTTTCAAAAAGTTTTTGACTTTTCGCAAAAACCAGAATATATGTTATAGAACGCATGCTTATGACTAGCTTTAGCAAGTTTTAGCCAAATATCTTCAAAAATGGCCAAGTTATACGCAATATTGCAAAAAATTCACAATTCTTATTTTTCAAATCAATTTTTCAGTACGTATTTGACATTGTACACCAATATAAATAGCACCATCGTGTTCCTGAGCTCAACCTGCATCCAATAGACACCTTTTTTAATTGAAAAATTGTAACTTCAAAATTTGACCTTTTTTACCTGAAAGTGACCTGACCTAAGCTAAACTCGACTCAAAATGACCTCGAATGACACAGGCGACATCAATTTCGAAATCTCTGGCCCAAATGGACCATAAAACATGTGTCACGTGACCGACGCATGATATAATATTTCCGTGACCTGTGATGACCTGACCTTGACCTGAAAATCAAAGTACAAGTTTGGTACCTTCAGGGTATCTAGAGCATCTGTTCACGAGTGTGTAAACCTTGGTCAGGTCAAAGGTTAGGTCGTCAGAGGTCATCAAAGGTCAAATTTAGTCAATTTCAACAGTTTTGGAAAGTGCCAACGGCTAACTCCGGAACCAATAGAGCTACAGGGCCGCAGAAAAGCGCATTCGATAGCCCTTTTACAGACCTTTCTGATTATAGATCTCAGATTTGACCTCAGGTCAACGGTGTGGCCTCTAGAGGGCAAAAATTGTAAAAAATAGCAGTTTTCCCGAATGTGGTTTTTCGTCAACAACTTTTACCTCAAGAGAGCCACGACCTTACTTTTGGCTCATCGTGTTCCTCCCGTCGAGAAGCGTCGAATGAACTATTTGTTGACCTTGAAAGGTCATTTTGAAAATTTGACCTCAGGTCAAGGTCATGACCTGACCGGAAAGGGTCATGTTGCATATCAGTCGATCCGTATCGTCGAGATGAATACATCTAACGTGTTTTCATCACTCTAGCACGTCTTTATCAAAAGTTATAGCCAAATAACTGCTGGTGACCGTTCATGACCTGAGATGACCTCAGGGGCACACGGAAGGGTCACAGCCGTCACAGGTGCATTTTTCCGATTCAGTGTGTCATGTCTAACTATGAACCGAATTTTGAGAGGGTTTTGAACATCATTCGTCCAAAAGAGGCGCATTTCAATTCTCTCCCATTGACTTATAATGGAGAGGTCGCAAAATTGACCAGATCTTAGGTCACCGATATCAAAATTCCGATATATACATACAACAAAGACATGTTAGCTGTTAGTTTTATCAATCGCTGAAAGTTTCAAGGCGATCATTCAGTCGGTGTAGCTATGACGGCTGTGACGAGGATTGAAACTTTTTCTGAGGTGAGGTCACTTGACCTGACCTGGTGACCTAACCTTGAGAGCCCTGGATCTGGAATTTTTACAACAAGTGCGTAAAAGTTGCATTAAAGGGACTATCCCACCTTCTAAAATGTGGTTAAAACCAATTAAAATTGTGCCCGACTTTAGATATTAAGTGACCAGGAACACGGTTCTGCCATTTATTTTTCATTAAACATCTTAGGCTTCCCATATTCCAAACACAAACTTTCAAATATGTGACGTCACAGCCCAAAATTACCTCCTTCCCCAGGCCACATTACTGTCATAAAGCTGATTCTTTTAACTTTGTATGCACCACAACAAAGTTCAGACCAAGTTTTAAGCAATTTTTCAACGAACAAACCCATTTAAATCAGAATGACTAAACGAGGTGACGTCACACTAACGGTCGCTCCATGTTGAAAGGGCCTTGTGCAAGGCCCATTTTCAAATGAAGGGAACGAATTTCTTCAACACCAAGAGGCCGCGGGGGTTGCAACCTAGATAGATAGTGGTTTCTGAACCTCGCCGCAAACTTGGCTATCTCAACTCAAACCCCATGTTAAAGGTGGGATAGTCCCTTTAACAGGTGTGCCAAAAGATATCTGCGAAAACCGCAGGGGGTGTTCAAACACCCCCGGCCCGGCGCGGGTAAAAAAATGACTCGCTTCATTTCTATTTATTTATTGTATTTATTTATTTATTTATTTATTTATTTATTTATTTATTGTATGTTCGTTTCAATTATTGATTATATCGCATGATATTTACCGGGCTTCTAAAAAAAGTTGGACGATTTTATAACTAACGTATTGAAGGGCGTATCAGTGTAACAAAACATAATTGGGTATCACCTAAAAGCCTCATCAAAGACATTTCATTTGACGGGATTTCGATCCTCGGCAGTCGCCTTTCTGAGCCTCGCTGAGGTCATGTTCGAGATGATTCCCTTTTTGCTCGATGCACAGTTTAGCCCGGTGCAGCGCGACCTCTGCTGCAGCACGACCCACGGAAAGCTGCAGACGGCACACCGCTGACTTCACTGCATCCTTATGACCTTCGGAACTTTTTGGGTGGTTTCGGTACACCTACAGGGTCTTTCATAATGAATGTTATTTTTAAAACGCCATGTTGAAGGTGTTCGTAAATAATAAGAGCATACATTTTGTATTAACATTATTGACAATTTCTTGGAATTTCTGTTGATGTAATTAAAACTGTCACACCTCACCAAACTTCCCTTTTGTGCGGACATGAAATGCTTCCCCTTACAACACGGCTCAGCTCTTTTTTCACGTAGGCGTTTTGGGTGGTCGTGGGAAACGGCTCACACCTCACTGAGGGGCACGGCTGTGTACCGTAAGTTTCGGGGACACTTTCAAAAGAAGCACAATGTCCGCTCTAAAATGACTATCAGGCTTGTGGACAGATACCAGAATGTCACGGTTAACTGCAAGGAACAAAACGCACGAAAGGTCATGTTTTGGGCTGCCATGGTCGACGGGCGGGTCTTCGTCCATTGGTTCGCTTTTGCTCATTTTTGACCGGGCCAGCTTATCTGAGGCTGTTCAAGAAAGAATTCTGGCCTCACGTGCCTGGCGCGGTTCGAAGACAAGGCCGCTGGTTTCAGTAGGATGGCGCTGAAGTGACAAAACGGCGGCTGGGCGCCAGTGGTTGGCTGGCATCTTTGACAGACGCCGTCTCACTGAGCGGCCATGGCCAGCTTGGAGCTCCCTGATCTCTAGCCGATGGACTTGTGATTTCGGGCAGTCGTTCTGGAGGCCCCCAACAGAAACCCTTCCAATGACCTTCATAGAGCTACAGGTTACAGTGGAGAGGTTTGCTGCAAGGCAGTGCGCGAAGGATGTGAAGCGCGTGGTGCACCATTTGCGTCAGCGGGCCGAAATCTGTGTCCGAAAGCGAGGCGACACAGTTCAAAATCCATGAAGGGTACCTAAATGCGAGTCAAATGTACATAATTTCCCATGATTTGTTATTTCATTCGGGTATTGACAATAGCTTTGTGATGTATATCACCTGAGCTATGGCTATTTTAAAAATAACATTCATTATGAAAGACCCTGTAGAACTTGAGGTGGTCTTATAGGAAAAAGTCCGGTGGGGTTACGTTCGGAGAATTCGCCGACCACGGGCGTGTCTCGAACCTCGAGATCACGCGCTGCCCGAAGCGCTCCCACAGCCCCTCCCGGTTTTCTTTAGCGGTATTGGCGTGGCACCGTCTTGCTGGAACCATTGGATCTTAAACGTTTCCGGATCTCTGCTCATCCTGATAATATTGCAGAACCCTCCAAAACGTAGCCAGACGGCTACCCGATATCGCTGACCATTGACAGTCTGAGTAGCGCATCTCTCACACGAGTGGTGTTCGCCGTGAGCCTTTGATTGGGTTTATGGCCGCCGTTGTGTTCCTTGAATTGCGTGAACCTATTGTTAACACTTCCTCGAGCCAGAAACTTGTCAATAATGTGGAAAATTTTGTTTCTAAATGTTGCTCTCTTTGCCCTAAAGTGCTTGCGGATCTTCCGTGGTGTCGAGCCGACCGGCTTAGTCTGGGAAAGCATAATTTCACGAGTTTTGCTTTTAGTTCCTAAGACCACGGCTTCATTTTTTAAGCTCAAACTATGGTGTCATATAAATCTACGAAAAATTCTCCGTTTTTCCACGTGCATTGAGTTTGCTTAAATTTTGTTAGGGGTCCTCTATTTGCAAAAGAAATCCGTCTAACTTTTTTGAGAAGCCCGGTATAACAAATTGTATGGTAAATTTGGGAACACGAATCATGCCCTTTCTTCTCACTAGACCAAAAGGTTGACGATGTTATTCAGCGTGATTTGTACGATTCTTGAAAACACATAAAACAACTTATCGTTTCTAAGCACGAAATGGAAATACACGATTCACGTTTTCTGAACCATTGTTATTATATAATTGCCTGAATCATATTGAACGAACACTACGTTTGTCACCAGGAATATCTGCTGAGGCATCATCACTGGCAGTTGGTTGAGGACTATTAGTTCCACCACTCACAGCTGTTGGTGAGTTCCCCGTGACGGCACCCACAGTCGGCTGTGAGTGTCCAGTGACGGCACCCACAGTTGGCTGTGAGTGTCCAGCGACTCCCCACTCAGCTGTGGGAGGACTACCACCGACCCCGACCCCCGCTGTCGGCGACCCGCCAGCGACCTCACCCACGGTCGTCACCGCCCTGCGTGTGACGTCACCCACCATAGAGAGGGCCGCGCCCGTGACGTCACTGGCTGTCGTCCGGTAGCTGCCCGTGACGTCACTCACACTCGACAGCAGGCTGTTTGTGACGTCACTCAGGATCGTCAGTGAGTGTTCGGTGGCCTCTCTCTGTATTGACAGTGACTGTCCTGTGACGTCACCGACACTCGTCAGCGCCCTCTCGGTGACGTCACTCACCAGAGTCTGCACGGACGCCGTGACGTCACTGGCAGTCGTTATTGAGTCTTCACTGCCGTCACTCGCAATAGACACGGAGCCGGACGTCACGTCACTAGTGCTCGATAGAGGACTTCCAGTGACATCACTCTCCTTAACCATACCACCCATGTCTCTCTTGGGAAACGTCATCGCTCGGTTATACGCGGTAAAATCCCCATCGTCGGTTCACTCGCAGTAGATGGCGAACACGGAGGCGACGGCGCGCAGCTGCTGGTTGGCGAACTCGGCCCTCATGCAGCGGTCCTTCTCAGCGTCCCAGACGCAGCGGCTGATGGCCCGCACCGCCTGGCCGCGGCTCTCCGTTACCACCACCTGCGGGACAGACAGACAGGAGGACAGACAGACAGACAGACAGACAGACAGGAGGACAGGCGGACAGACAGACAGACAGACAGACAGACAGACAGACAGACAGACAGACAGACAGGCGGATAGACAGACAGACAGACAGACAGACAGACAGACTGACAGACAGACAGACAGACAGACTGACAGACAGGCGGTCAGACAGACAGACAGACAGACAGACAGACAGACAGACAGACAGGCGGTCAGACAGACAGACAGACAGACAGACAGACAGACAGACAGACAGACAGATGACGGCAACACTCAGCGCCGACCACAGTGAGACAGCGGGCGGCAGCATCAGTCCAAGAGCCAGTCCCTTGCTCTCATTTTGATCCTCTTCAATTCCCTCTGTTCTTACCTGAACGACCAGACGGACTCGTGGTGACACCAGCCCCAGCGTCTCGTCCTTTATTTTCTCCGCGGCAGCCACCGCCAGTCGGCGCGCCTCGTCGGCATCGTAGCTGGGGAGGTGGGGCGAGAGAGAGAGAGAGAGAGAGAGAGAGAGAGAGAGAGAGAGAGAGAGAGAGAGAGAGAGAGAGAGAGAGAGAGAGAGAGAGAGAGAGAGAGAGAGAGAGAGAGAGAGAGAGAGAGAGAGAGAGAGAGAGAGAGAGAGAGAGAGAGAGGAGAGAGAGAGAGAGAGAGAGAGAGAGAGAGAGAGAGAGAGAGAGAGAGAGAGAGAGAGAGAGAGAGAGAGAGAGAGAGAGAGAGAGAGAGAGAGAGAGAGAGAGAGAGAGAGAGAGAGAGAGAGAGAGAGAGAGAGAGAGAGAGAGAGAGAGAGAGAGAGAGAGAGAGAGAGAGAGAGAGAGAGAGAGAGAGAGAGAGAGAGAGAGAGAGAGAGAGAGAGAGAGAGAGAGAGAGAGAGAGAGAGAGAGAGAGAGAGAGAGAGAGAGAGAGAGAGAGAGAGAGAGAGAGAGAGAGAGAGAGAGAGAGAGAGAGAGAGAGAGAGATCATATACATACATACATTCAGGCTTTGTAGCATTTGAAATATGAGTAGAACTCAAAATAACACGGCATAGCCCATGGGTATGGTAGCGACTAGCGAGGGCCCCTCTCCGCTCCCACACTGACCTCTGTCCTCCGAAGAGTCTGTCGAGGACGCGTTTGGCCACGCGCTCGATGGGCTCGGGCACGGTCGGCTGGTCCATCTGCATGTCGTACGAGTGCTCGTGGCGCTGGCGTTTCTGCAGCTGGAAGTCGTCGAGCTCTCGCGGCACGTCTTTGTGCGTGATCTCGACCACGGTGCTGAGGTCCTTCTCCCTGCCCATGACTGCCGCCAGCTGCTGACCAGCCACTCGGAGCGAGCTGCCTGCTGCCTTCTATGGAGGCCCGACTCTTCTAGCGTTCAATTGATCCTAGGCTGGAGCGAGGTGGTGACAAGGCTCCAAACATATTACCAATGAATAAAACAATGAACTTCATGTGCAGATGATCACAGTGTCAAATTTCAATAATAGAAACAAGCAGCGAAAATGTAAAAGCAGCGACGCGTAAATGTGGTGCAACTGGGTGCAACTGGGTGCAACGCGCCCGTAGCGAGTAAGTGTGATTATTTCGCCATCACTTATAGCTCGTGCAAATAAATCTGATCGTACTTCCGGACAGAATCAGTCGATTTAGTCTCCTATTGTCTCGGACTGATTTTCATACAATCCTAGATTAAAACAGGCACCAGATTAATGATCAACATATGTATATTCACTGGCTTGCACACAACTCTTCACCTTACATCAACCCGACACTATCAACAATCAGATCATCAACCTAACTAACATCCACTCATTATCGCCTCTGCAAATGCATTCCTGCGGCTCTTTGATATACTCGTACAGTGCAGAGTCGGTACTCTTATCTGAAGTGTTGTCTATTTCTACAGCCTCTTGCTCTGTGTAGATGAATACGCACCGTGCATCTTATTCGTGCCACCCACCCATCACGTATCGTGCATAGACCTCCGCACATTTCATTTACTGCCTGATCGCTGCCAATTTGACCACATGAGCTGATAATGAAATTACGGTCTCCTCTGAGTTTAACAGGTTTTAGACCATCGTATCTCATATGGGCACTGCATTGAAACCGTTTATCAGGACTTGTATTATTCCTTTTCCTTTTCGCCTTCTACGCTTACTTTTGCTGTACAAGTGCGTACTTGACTTGTCCCTTTCCTTGGTATTTGTTTCCCTTGGCTTGTTAACTCTGCATGCTGGGTCTTCAGAATACCATTTGTGTTTTGTAGGCGCCACCATCTGTGTGGCCTCTTCAGTGGCTTCTAGCGACTGTTTTCCTCTATGGACCATTCAGCCGCCGCTGGCCGTCTCCAGAGACGCACACGCCGGCTGCCATTCGTGGAAGTATCTCCCTGAAATCAACATGATACGCCATTCGAAACGGAGGGATTCGAAGAAAATGAACGTTTAAAATGATGAACGCATTATGAAATGCAATCCATATGTCATATAACCTTAGAGTGCTACTTGTGTTTCCAAATATCTTCCATGATGACATCGAAAAGGTTAATTTGTAGCCGGGTGCTATGTTTCATAATCTAATCGCTTTATCTAATCAATGCATTGTAGCGATTAATTGTATTAGATATCAAAATGTTCCAAGCATGGCGCTGTTACATTGAATGAAGTCTGGTCGGAAAGGCCAGGAGCGTGTATTCATAAATCATTTGGTCATCACCCAGGTCAGGTCAGGAGCGGTTCAAGCTCGGTGAGGGTGAGGTCAGTGTAAGGTCCGGTCAGGATCATGAAGGTATTAGGACAGGATCAGTTCAGGTCACGTTATTACCCGCTGATGACGCTCTGAAGCTGTTTTCCGACGCTGTGTCTCACTCTCGCCCAGATCTCCCGCCAGACGGAGTGGCGAAAGTGAAATAACGTTAGCTGCCGCAGCGCCTCAACTGAAAGAAACATACGACAGGTGAGATGGTCATCACAAATGACGGACCGACGGTCAGTGAGTTACATAATGGACTTCCTGCAGTAGGCGATATGTCATATGTAGTTACTGCGCTGTAATGTGACTGACAGAGGTGACGTCACAGCCATGAACGAACAGCGTGGCAGGCGCGCCTGTCAGCTCGGTGACGTCAATGAGGCCGCTGACCTTTCTAAAAGAGTGAGTACTGACATGACTATCAACGCCTCCATTATAACAACACGGGTGGCAGTCGATGCACAAGGCAAAGACAATAGACGTGGTATGACATATAAGTGCATGCATGGCCTAAACTTTTGAATTCATTTTAAAAGAGATATCAAATCTGTCATTTGATAATCCTCTTAGACGTGGTTTGTACCTACCTTGCTACTACATACAGGGGCGGATCCAGGATTTTTCGGGAGGGGGGGGGGGGGCGGCAAGTCAAAATAGGGGCGACCTGGCAATCTGGGGGCGCTTCATACGAAGGGGCGCCAAACCGTCGTCAAAATCGAGAGTCGTCGAACCCGCGCCCGCGCCGTGGTGTGGGACGTTGTCATGCTCCCCCTCAGGTTTTTGGCAAATATCTGAAAAACAGCTGTGCGTAGCGCCGCCGTTTTCAGCACACATTACCATGCGCCTTTTTTGCACATGTTGTGAAAGTGTCAGGCCCGGGTCATGCAACGGCAGGTCACCAGGTCATGACAAGTGACCTAACCCCATGGCATGTTAAAATGCTCACCATTGCTATACCGACAGAACGGTCGCTTTGAAACTGTCAACGATTGATGAAAGCAACAATATTCATGAAATGTATATCTCGGAATTTTGATATTTTTGGGCTAAGGTCAAGTAGATCTCGCTGTGCATGTCAATATATAAAAATTGGTTCAACTGGCCCCGCTCTCCCCTATAGGTATATTATGAAATGCAATTGTACATATGTACATTTCGATTCCTTTCTCGTGGTTTTGCTTCATCAACTGTTTGATTCTATTGTTACTGGCCGAGGGGGCCCGGGCGGGGAGTGTGCCACCCCCCGTACGATTTTTTTCGGGATAGTTCAAAACAGCCGGGCGCTTACATTAGATAGAGTGCTGAATTTTGGTACCCGTGACTTTTGATTCAAGCCGAATCTTATGACACTAATCAAACTTTTTAGGTGCGGTCAGGTCACTGACCTATGAAGTCATAAGTCAAACCCTGCAGGGTTCTAAAATGAGGCACCTTCGCAATGCCTTCAGTGCCAGAGGAGCTTTCAGAGGGAAATGAAACAAATTCATAGGGCCTAGTAGCCTCCAGAGGTCCCACACATGTAACTGTAATCTCAAATTCTTATTAAGGTTTGCCTGAGGTCAGGTGAGTCGCGTGACCTCACCATTCTCCATAGGTGAAATATGGAAACTGTTATTGTGGAGCCGGAAATCATTGCTCTAAAACTATCACCTGTACATGGATGCGTGGCTTCATGCACTCCTTGCAACTTGCAAGGTTTGCATCGTGGCGTCATTAATGATAATGTCACTATGGAGTTTTTCGTCATAACTCCCGATCACAGATAGAGCGTTGTGAAAACCGCCATTGGACTCGGGAAGACATGTCAAATTGAGTGGCATGCGACATGACCTCCTTTTACCAACGTTGTGACCTGAGTGGCCTGACCTCGACCCGAGGCCAGCACCTTTAGATAACATCACCCAATCAAAAAGAATGTCATTCGACACGCCTGAGCATGGCGAGCACGATTGTGCCAACATCGTGGCCCTGCGACCATTTTTGGCGAATGTATTTAACATTAGCCGTTTTCACGACGGCCATCTGGTACACATTTGGTGCACATCTGGTACAGATTAGGTGCAGATTTGGTCAAATCAGGTTCAGTGTGTCTCTTAGCAGCTATTAAGCTAGGGTTGCACAACTTGCTTATATGCCTGCTTTGTCATATTATCAGAGAGCATAAACGATTAAAACACTGAAATAATTTCATAAAATGAAGATATTTGCTGTAAAAGAAATTAGGTGCAGATTTGGTCAAATCAGGTGCATTCGCCGGATAGCCCGTCGTGAAAACGGCTATTAGCCGTTTTCACGACGGCCATTTGGTACACATTTGGTGCACATCTGGTACAGATTAGGTGCAGATTTGGTCAAATCAGGTTCAGTATGATTCCTTATTCCTGATTCCAACCCTCGCCAGGCGAGGGCCTTTTCCATAACACGTACGGCGAGGGGGGTTGGTACGACCCCCCCTGGCGATTGGCTCCTATGGCACTTAGAAACGCCAAATTTACAGGGTAGGTGGGTCCATAGGAGATCTCGCCCCTGTGAACGTTTGGTGATTCTAGTCTCTAGGTCAATATTTAGGGGGTTTTGGGGGCATGAGTGCAAAATTTCTTAACCCGCGCGGGGCTGGTGGGTAAATTCCCCCCCCCCTCGCGAATTTTTGCAATATCTCAAAAACGGCGGCGCGCAGCGGCCAAACTTTCAGTACCTTTTCTTACAACAATTTGACACGTTCCCTGAAAATTTCAGCGAAATCCTTTGGATTTTTTGTTGAAAAAATGACGTTATATTGACGTCATGTTCGCCATTTTCGCCTCAAAAACGGCAAAATTTCAAACGCCGCCAACATCTTCATTTTTAAAGCAATCAAGACGTAACAACCCAGTAAACATGCCGACGTTGGCCCGACGTCGGCCGACGTCGGGGTGACGTCGGCAACTCGGCATCGGCATGCCGACGTCGGCCCGACGTTGGTCCAACCTCGGCACGACGTCGGCTGGATGTCGGATATGCTCGCATGTTCCGACGTCCAGCCGAGGTCCAGCCGACGTCGGGCCGACGTCGGACCGAGATCAATTGCTGAGGTCCAGCCGACGTCGGGCCGACGTCGGGGCGACGTCGGACCGACATCGGCCGCTGTTTTGACCGTTAAAATAATATAAAATACATGTTTCATGTTTCATAAAGAGCTTCTGTATTCAAAATATCCTCAGGAAACTCAAATCTTCCTCCACGCCGCAACCCCCTGATCCGGACTGGACGGGAAACTTTATCCCATTCCCATTTGGGATTGCCCGTAAGCCGAGCTCGCCCGTAGCCGGGTGCGGTGAGTGCTTGGGGGCTGCTCGGCCTATCCTTTGGTCAGGCCCAGCCCCGGCAACTCACCAGGGCCGGGCCCAGTTCATATAGAAAGGCCAGTCGGCAAGTGTCACTTTGCCAAAGTGCCACTTATCAAAGGGACACTGTAAGCCGGAACTGTATTTCCACTGCCGCGGTCGGCACCTGCACACCGAACGACGCGCAAACCCGATCCTCCCCTCCGCCTGACCCCCACTGCCCGGCGGCCGCTGCAGATGGCCTTCGCCGCTGCCGGCCGCCGGCACATCCGAACTTTGACCCGCCTGCGCGCGCGCCAACATGAGCGAGCCGGCGAAACAGATCAGCGCTGCCAGTAGGGGAAGTTGGGGGAACGCCGAATACTTTTTTTCTGACGCCCGTAGCACGCAAGGTAGACAACAAAAGCTATTCTTGTTGGCGTCATTCGAGAGGCCAGTCTTTTGCCTTTCAAACATACCAGGCGCATTTGATGAATTCGCATACCGTTAAGCGCACAAACTAAAAATATCAAAGCAGTGACTTTTTCGGCGTTGCCCCGGACTGCGGGGAAAGCCAAAAATGGGAGAAATGATCTACGGGGAATGCCGACATTGATGTTTTGCCACTTTATCTCAAACTTTATCCAGAATTTATCAAAGCTGACACGCGTTTTAAGAGCTTGAGGACGCTTGGTGCACACTGGAAGTTATAATTGTGTGATATAATAAGAAAATGCCAGGTAAATAATTCCTTATAGGTAACAGGCCGTTGTGTCGGTTGAAAGTGTAATTTATGTGACTAAAAATTCGCGTTGCTATTCTACAGCAGTAAAGTCCACGTAGCGTGCTTTTACGTGCGTAATTGCACGTTTTCGGCATTACCCCAGCCAGCCATACTTTCATTTGCAAGCCCATAACTTTTCAACGTGCCGTATAAATTTCAAATAGGCAGCACACTTATGCAAAGACATGCTGAAGATTACTTGACCGAATTGCCCAGACAAACGGTAGCATAATGAGTAAGAAATGCAGCTTCAAAGGCGCATGTAGTACAAGGAACGCGTACCTTGAAAACGCTCTTGGCGCCCTCACAGCCGAAGTATTCCGAATGACGACTCGTAACAAACATGCGATAATTGTAGTCACTTAAGCTTCAGAGCATCACTGACAGGTGGCATCCATGTCTTACGGTTTTCGAAATATCTCGAATTTCGGCTTTGCCCCAACTCCGGCATTGCCCCAACTTCCCCTACACATTACAACACAGTACAGACACTCTGGGAAACGTTGGTGCAGGTGTGTAAGAGTGGCTATATGAATCCATTGTGGGGTCGCCCTTTCCAATAAGTGTCACGTAACAGCAATGGGACCAGGGACTCTACATATATGAACTGGACCCAGGGTGCTCGCCAAGAAGACCAATGTCTCCATCCTATGATCCTTCCGGGTCTGAAATGGTCTTATCAGACCGAAAGGGCATAACCCAACAAAACAAACCAAGTTTGTTAGCTGGCTGCGTGGTGTAGTGGTTAGCGCACTAACCTCGCGTTCGAATGACACGTGGTTCGAATCCCCTCGCCGGCTGATGCTTTTGGCGTGTTGTCCCAGTAAACATGCCGACGTCGGCGACTGGGGGGCTCGAATCCCGCCGCCGGTTGATATTTTTGGCGCGTTGCCCCAATAAACATGCCGACGTCGGCCCCGTCGGTCCAACGACAAACGATCTCGTCAACCTCGGCAAACGATCTCGGCCCGACGTCGGCTCGACGTCGGCTGGACTTCGGCTGGACGTCGGAACATGCGGGCATATCCGACGTCCAGCCGATGTCGGGCCGAGGTTGAACCGACGTTGGGCCGACGTTGTTGTTCGTCCTCTCGGCGT